CACACACACACACACACACACACACACACACACACACACACACACACACACTATTTTGATAAGTAATGTGAATTAGATACACAATAATTATAAGTTGTATTTCCTGATGATTATTATTTATTGTTGTGATAATTACGTCATCTTTGTATGTGATGGCTGACAGATTCTGTTATTATTTCACCCACCCTCCAAGACCTGCCCACTTTTAATGAAGCACTTCTATGATGTGTGCTGCTATCGTGAATGAACTTTATCACACTACGTCTGGTAACTTTCTTGCTGCTACGTAATGGTGTGACCCTTTGAACTGCTCCAGCTTAAATGTGTGACCTTTGAACTGCGATTGCTTTTAAACTATGACCTTTGAACTGGCCTCTTTTAATCTTATCTTAATGACTGCTAAAGTGAACTTAAAGTAGACCAGACATTGTGGGTCTCGGCGGTGGGCGCGATGCATCTCTCAAAGCCCCGCCCACCTCCCACCTCAGTGCACATTGCGCCCGCCCCGTCAGTCAGTCAGTAGGCCCCGCCCCCTTCTCTCTCTTCTTTGACCACGCCCACAACCCGCCCCTCTCTCTTTGGCCACACCCACAGCCCCCTGTCTCTCTATTTGACAACGCCCACAGCCCCGCCCCCTCTCTTTGACCACGCCCACAGCCCCGCCCCCCGTGCTAGTTCTCCTCCCACCTCGTGCCTCCATCTGTTTGCCCTTGTTTCTTTCCAGTAATTCTTCTGGACACTCGGCCGATCCTCCGCAGAAGAAAAAAAATCATATAAAGAAACCCCTAAACGCTTTTATGTTATTTATGAAAGAACAGCGGCCCAAAGTGATCGCGGAGTGCACGCTCCGAGAATCCTCGGCCATCAACCAAATTTTAGGCCGTAGGGTAAGTCAGTGCTCAGTGCTCGGAGATGATGAGATCAGAGCTCAGCAGAGCCCCGCCTCTCGGCGGAAAAAAACAACTCACGCATTCGCTGGCGACAACACTTTTTTCTTCTTTTTTCTTTTTTGGTTGTTTTTTTAAAAAATCATTTTTGTTTTGTTTTTTTTGTTTTGTTTTTTTGTTTTTTGTTTTGGGGCTTTTATTTTGTTTCCCCTCTTTGAATCGACTCACTCCGCCCTCCCTCCCTCATTTCACCCCTCCCCAACCAACACCTTCCCCTTGGTCCAAATTTCTTGGAAGGTGGAGGGTTCGGAATTGAAACGCCATCCCCCCCCCCACCCCAGCCCTCACCCATCCCCTTATTTCCCTGCGAATCTGTTTTCCCCTCGGCCTTCCTCTCTCTCTCAGTCCACCAACTTCCCGCCCCCCTCCTGAAAAAAAGATTTAAAAAAACCAAGCTGAACTAGAATCTAATAGTGTGATTATCTTTGAGTATGTGGTTATCACCCTCCGCCAATTTGTGTGTGTTTCTCTGGTCCTTTTCGCAGGCAGCTAAACTCCTCTCAGGGCGATGAAAACTCTAGTTGTAAAAGCTCGCAGCACGCTGGTGGCTCCGGCGAGGAGACGAGAAAAAAGCCTTATGTAAAGAAACCCCTAAACGCCTTTATGTTATTTATGAAAGAAATGAGACCCAAAGTTATCTCAGAGTGTACGCTGAAGGAGTCGGCCGCCATTAACCAGATACTGGGCCGCAGGGTGAGTAGATGTCCGACAGACATACAGATAGAGCTAGAAACACGTTGGTAATGATAGGTAGACCACACTGATTTCTCCTAGTCACTCGCCATGGGGGGAGGGAGGCGTTCTCTATTCTATTCAGGATGGGGTTGGGGGGGGGGGGTAGGATTTGTGGTGTTCGTCTGTGTACACTTCTCAACTTGTGTCCTTAGCAGTACCCACCTTTTGATGATGTCATCGCCATATTTCTGGGCAGGGTAGCTGGGTAGAGTCGCCAGCTGGGAAAAGGGGAGGTGTAATGTCTCAATTGTCCCAAGTAAATTAATTTCAGCGTTGTAGGAAGGGACTAGAGTGGATAGTGTAAGGATAAATTATGCTGTTTGGCAGGCAGCGCAAATATTTCCCTGGACCCCTGCTAGAGATGGAGCAGACCTACTCTTTTTAGATTTCTCTCCAATATTTAGAATATAGAACAGGGGTGACTTTTTCTTATGGCCTGCCACATTGACACAGTAGTCTCCAGTGTAATGTGTCCTGTCAGTTTGCTGTGATTTGCTGGGTTGTCTCTGCCAAAAGAAGAATGGGGTTCGAAGAAGCTTGGAATAAACACTCTCCACAAAGAGACCGAAACAGAAAGGAAAGGGGGAACATATTGTAAAGGAAAAAGAAACAATTGGTAAAGGGGAAAATATTTGATTACAGAAAGACTAGTGTTAGTGAGAACATGTAACAACTGAATTCATGTCGTAAAGTATGAGACATTGTCCCAGGCTACGTGTTCTGATCGAATTCCCCTGAAGACATTTTGGACAAACTTTCCGTAGCTCTTACTTAGACAGCCTCGGTTCTTCCCCTTTCTTTCCTGTGTGGAGTTCCGGTTTGTTGGTATTGGAGTCTGATAAACATCATGCTCAAGGATAATCCAGACATTTATTGTTGTAAGAACCGCTTTACGTTCTTGCCTCTCCAACTTTCATCTTAAGTTTTTTTGGGCGGGAAATAAATAAACGGCTTTTTAAAAAAATCCCTGGGTCTTTTTTTCTTTTGCTTTTGTTGCTAGTGGTAGAAAAAACGTCGTCGTTTTGTTTTTTCTTGTGTGAAGATTTTTACAATAATTTTTGTAGTGCGTTTTTTATATGATAAATTTGTTTAGTATTTGTTTGTTGAAATGTTTACGGTTTGAGGGGAATTGTGTAAAGATGTTTGTAGGTTTTCAGAACTTGGGGAAGCCTAGATCTGCAGAACCATCACAGGGAGTGAACGTTCAGATTTCAACGGGATATTTCTTTGTTTGAGAGAGGGGGGGGTAATTGATTAATTGATTATCTTTTAAAAAGAGACCATTATTGTTCCTATAAGGTTTACAATATAAATGTTAAATTCAGGAGGGGGGGGGGGGGGTCCAAACCATTGGTCTGTCGCTATGACAGTTTTGTTGAACATGAACATTATATTTAAAGTTTTTAAGAATTATTCCATGAACTACAGTCACTAAAATCTGGGATTTAATTATTTTTTAAAATATAAAGTTTAGTTAAGGGTATGTATGAGTTTACTTAAGACAGATATTGTATAATAGATTTGTTTTTGTTGATGATTTATTTACATGGTATTGTCGTAATTTCTTCCATTTTATTACATTGTTTAGAACATTAATTGATACTTGCGTAGTATTTGTAGGTTTTGTACTGACATTTTGTTTAATAATTTAATAAGTAGAACAGAAAAGTGATTTGTGGTCACATGAAAGAAACACTCTTGAGTGTGATTGCCAGAATAAGAAATTGTTTGATACATGCAAATATTCTATTGTTTTCCATTAAGTGGCTCAGTTCATAATGTAAATGTATGATGTGTCATATGACTTTGTCATATTCAAGTACCAAGTAATTCTTTAGCGTAAAGAGTTCTTGCAAGTATTTAATTCTATTTTCCATTCAATTTATCATTCTGCTAAAATTCGTGCTTTTCCTTAAAGGCTAGGTAATACTGATTTCCTACAATATGTTAGTCGTAGATCCTGTAGTGGTGAATGTGAAAAGTGTGTCGTTTGGAGTTTATTTGACTGACCTGGATTTTGTTGTCTCCCCTCCCCCTCTCCCCCCTTTGACCCTTGTATTCCCCCATCATTCTCCCCATCCTACTCAACCCTTCACCACCACCCCCTCAACCCCCTCCCCCTCATATCCCCTATCATCCTCCCTACCCCTCCCCCACCCCAAATCATCTTCCTCATCCCTATCATCCTCCCCACCCCTCACCCATCCCCACCCCCTAAAATCATCATCCCCACCCACTCCCCCCCCCATCCCTAAAATCCTCCCCCCACCCCCAACCCATTCCCCATTCCCATCCCCCCACCCCCATGTCCCCAGTGGCACGCCCTGGACCGGTCAGAACAAGCCAAGTACTACGAGATGGCCCGCAAGGAGAAGGAGCTCCACTTACAGCTCTACCCCGGCTGGAGCGCCCGTGACAACTACGCCGCACACCAGAAGAAGAAGAAACGGAAAAAAGACGGGCCCGGAGGAGGAGGAGGGGGCGGGCCCGGCGGAGGAATGATGGGAATGGGCGGTCCTCCAGGAGGCGTGCCAATGGGCGGGGCGAGTGGGCGTGGCTCGGTGGGTCCAGTAGGCAGCATGTGTCCGGACGTGGAGAATAAGCCAGGTAGGTGGATTGTTCTCTTTTTTGGGTGGATGGGTGGGGAGAGGGGGGGGGGACGTTATGGGGTGTGGAGACTAGCAGGTGCTGGATAGACTGATGGATGGGGTGCACGAGTGACAGATGGAACATGACAGATAAACTGTCAAGGTCATCCTAGTTACATCATGATATCTGAATTAAATATAGAATATGTACAATGAATTTAAGCATTCAGTTTCCCCCGTACCGGAATTATCTAATTATGTGGTTGTAAGGACTTACCTTTCCAGCTACACCTTCAAACTCCATTAATTGTTAACTCTGCCCTTTTAAAAAAAAATTTGGTTCCATAGGTTTCAGAAAGTTATTATAAATGCTTGCAGGTTTAATCCTGGTCCAGAGCTTTGTTTCTCTTGATAGCTGTGTTTGTCGGTTGTTTCTCTGGTTGACTGTCTGTGTTTTGTCTGTGTGTTCAGGTGAATGTCCCAATGAGAAGAAGTGCCGGGCGAGGTACGGGATGGAGCAGCAGTCCAGATGGTGCAAACCCTGCAGGTACACACGCTCATGTTGTTCTGTGTAGTCACCAGGTCAAGGGGAGGGGTGTGCTCACTGTCAGCGCAACAACACCTAAACACTTAAATCATGTTGTTACACTGGGCTCAATCCACCTTTTCGCGACCTCAGAGCTTTCTTGTCATATCTCCAATTTTTTAAACAGTGAACATGTGACTTCTTCTTAAGCTCACTCTTTGTTATGAACTGTTTTCACTGTTATTAAAAATGGAGATATGACAAGAAAGCACTGAGGTCCTGATTTTTATAATGGAGAAAAAAAAATGTGGTTAACTTAGTATGAGATTAGTAGGCCTGACAATGGTGTTTCCTTACCTCCCCTTGACACGAATGTTACTTTTATGATTTGTCTTACTACTGATCCAAACTCTTTCCACAGAGCCTCGCCGATAAACATTTTTTTTCTCTCTTTCTCTTTGCCTCACTCTCTCCCATTTTCTCTGCCTCTCTATCTCACTTTCTCTCTACCTCATTATCTTTTTTTTTTTTATCTCTGCCTCACTGTCTCTCTTTCTCTCTGCCTCACTATCATTCAGTATCTGTAAGATTGTCACTCCATGCAAGTTTACATAGAAAGCAGCTTTCTAAAACACATTTTGTTTTTCCTTTTGTAGTTTTGAAATAACGTACCATACACTCTTAAATCATGCGCCTTTTCGCCCCCAAATTCCTAACATTTTCATCACATTTTTTTTCCAATCTTTGTACTAAAAGAAAGATGAATAAATAAAAACTGTTTTTGAAGAAGGGAAGGATGATAAATTAGATAGGTTTTTGTGGCATGTTTCAGTGAGAAATTTAAGTCTGTAAAGTTCACACAGATTAAATTAGATAGGTTTTTGTGGCATGTTTCAGTGAGAAATTTAAGTCTGTAAAGTTCACACAGATGGGTACAATATTGAACACAAAGTCAAAGCAAATATTTGTACGTTTGTTTCTTTGCTAAGTCAGGAGGGTAATACAGGGGCTGTCTCGACCGTGCTGTGAAGGTCGTTAGCGAGCGTTAGGTCATGCCTTATTGGTGTGTGTGTAACAGTGGTAGTTTTTGTGTGTGTGTGACTGAGTAACGAGCTGAAGCTCACATATTGGGGGGCTTTGATGTCTCGAACGTCTGTTGTCCTGTGGGTATGAAGTAGGTCTGATAGCTTTGGTAGTTCTTGAAGATAAGTGATAAAAGATTAAAATTTTACAGGGATTTAGCAAGCAGATTTTGGTAGTTCCTGTAGATAAGTGATAAATGATTGTAATGTTAGAGAGATTTGGGTTATACTTGTAGATAAATGATACATGATTGTAATATTAGGTGGTAGTTCTTGTAGATAAATGATACATGATTGTAATATTAGGTGGTAGTTCTTTCAGATAGTGATACGGGATTGTAGTATTAGGTGGTAGTTCTTTCAGATAGTGATATGTGATTGTAGTATTAGGTGGTAGTTCTTTCAGATAGTGATACGTGATTGTAGTATTAGGTGGTAGTTTTTTCAGATAGTGATACGTGATTGTAGTATTAGGTGGTAGTTCTTTCAGATAGTGATACGTGATTGTAGTATTAGGTGGTAGTTCTTTCAGATAGTGAAACGTGATTGTAGTATTAGGTGGTAGTTCTTTCAGATGGTGATACGTGATTGTAGTATTAGGTGGTAGTTCTTTCAGATAGTCATACGTGATGGTAGTATTAGGTGGTAGTTCTTTCAGATAGTCATACGTGATTGTAGTATTAGGTGGATTTAGCAAGCAGATTTGGGTAGTTCCGGTAGATGGAGGGATAAATGGTTGTAATATTAGAGGGATGTAGCAAACATGTTTGAGTCTTTGACCAGGTCACACAACTGTTATATTATATGTACTTGCGAAGCTTTTGACATTTTGTCTCCAGTGGGTGGTTGGAGGGTGTACTTCATCCCTGTGTCTTTTGGTCTCTTCTCTTTCCTTCCTCTAGTGTAGCTGCCAATAACAACAGTGCACTACCAACACATTTTTTGACAGCTTATAATCTAGTTTGTTTGTTTATTTTTTATTTTAAAAATTTTTTTTGTTTAGTTATTAAACTCAGTCAATTCACATGCAAAAATTTGAACTTGTATGTATTATTATTATAGCCGCTCCCATCTTTTTCACAACAACGGACAATTCGCTTCCTAGGCTTCGCAGTCTAAAACAGGCTGATAAAGCTGTATTAATTGCCCTGTAGCATTTGTTCTTGTGCCGTGAGTGAGTGAGTGAGTGGTGGGCCAGCACCAGCGCCTGCTTTGCCACAGTACACAGTGTGATGTGATGTGATTGGCTGCAGAGTTTGGGGTTGTTGTTTTTTTGTCAGTGATATTTGACGAAGTTTTTTATGCAGACGAGGCGTTAAAGTCTGACTTTGTTTTGAATTATCCTCTTTTTTTTTTTTCGTTTTGATCAGATTTGTATACCTTTGCATTGTATACCTTTTCTTGGTTTAGTTGTTTGTGTGTGTGAGGCTGTTTTGTCTCCTGCTTCTTCTTTGATTGTGTTGTAGCCTAAGATTGCAAATGTATGCCTAGCAAGGCTGAAGCAAGCAGAGTTCTCGTAGGCTTGTCGATGATGCCTTCTTCAGTTTTCTCTGACTCTGTCTCAGTCTCTGTCTCCTTCCTCCCTCCCTCCTCAAAGAAAGGTTTTTTCTTGTAGATGAGTTAGCGGATGTACCTGTACCGTACTGATTTTGTGTTGGTACGGGTGTGTGGTTGTTCTCATTTCTTTTTTTCCCTGTGGTTTCATCAGTCACAAGTAAGGGCTGTGTTATGAAGAAACAAGTCTCTCTTCTCTCTCTCTCTCTCTTTCTCCCTCTCTCTCCCTCCCCCC